TATAAGCAACAGAAATGAACAAATACAGACCCATTACAAAAAGTACTTATGTATGTATGTATATTCTTTTATTTTCACAGTTAGAGGTTACAACTTTTAAACATAGTATATAAACAAACATAGGTATAAGTCAGCCAGAATGAAAGAATGAGCATGTATTTAATGAAAGAATCAGAATTTCTAGAACACAATGAACACCTACATTCTTTTTTTTTTTTTTAACTAAATGGCAACTACATATAGGAGTATATACAAGGGAAGTACTAGTACAGAGGCACCAACAATACCTTCTTTGATGCAGTCACTTACAAAGTGTAAAAAGTATCATCCAGCATCTGGATGCTAAATAAAAGAGCTGGAGACAACTAAATAAACAGGGAAATTCCTCTACCCATTTTCTTATTTCCAACTTTTAGGAATTAAAGTTTATTCAGAAGTTTGACATATGCAATCCCACATATATTCTCTCCTTCAATAACTTCAGAATAGTAGTTTTGGACAACTTTAAAGCTTGAGCTCCTTCTGGATTTCCCAAAGTGTTTTTGCACTCTTTTTCAAACGGGCCTCCTCTTCAGGGGTCAGTTTTATCTTTATAAGGTCTGTAATACCATTCTCTCCCAGGATACAAGGAACACTGAGGAATACGTCTTTATCTATTCCATACAGGCCCTTGATTATGGTAGAAACTGGATGCACTCTCCTAAGATTCTTCAAAATACTTTCTGTTAAATCAGCTACAGATAGGCCAATCGCCCAAGAAGTATAACCTTTCATTTTAATAATCTCATAGGCACTGGCAATCACTTCTTTGTGGACATTTTCCCACTGCTCAGGATCTTTATCAGTTCCTATATCTGAGTTCAGATCCTTCAAAGAGACACCAGCGATGTTCACTCCACTCCACACAGGAACACTTGAGTCTCCATGCTCTCCGAGGATCCACCCATGACAGCTTTCAGAGTGGATACCAAGCTTCTGCCCAATCAAGAAACGGAAACGAGCAGTATCCAGATTACAGCCACTTCCAATAACACGGTTTTTGGTAAATGCACTCAACTTCCAGGCTACGTAAGTTAAGATATCCACTGGATTGGAAACAACAATCAGTTTGCAGCGGGGGCTGTACTGGATGATACTGGAAATCACTAATTTAAAGATGGCCACATTTCGCTGGAGTAAATTAAGGCGTGTTTCTCCTTTTTCTTGGCGTGCACCGGCTGTGATAATCACCAGGTTAGAGTTGGCAGTGACAAGGTAGTCTCTGCTGCAAACGATATTTGGCATTTTCACGAAAGGGCTGCCATGCTGCAGATCCATGGTCTCCCCCTTCAGTTTGTCTTCATCAGCATCTACAAGGGCAAGTTCATCACTCAAGCCTTTTAACAAGATGCTGACAGCACAGGCCATGCCGACCGCCCCAGCTCCTACGATGGAGATCTTACTGTGATGAGCGGCCTTCTCTGGAGCTAAACTCTTCACAAGGTCACTCTTCACAGTCGCCATTTCGGACACGGGAGTGAAGAGCCAGGCGCCCCTGAGAGGGCCCTGGGCTGCCAGACGGGGACGCAGAGCCACCCCCGGCAGCGGGAATGTCACTCCTGCCACGCTCACTCTCTGGCTGGCCCGCAGGCTGCCCACAACCCAGCTCATGGCTGCTTGCTCAAGAGGTGGAGGAAGACAAGAGGAAAGGGCAGCAGACGACAGCGGGTGGAGGCGTGGAGGACCAGTGCGACCGTTACACACGCCCTCACGGCCCTGTGCCCCGCCCCCCAGGCCCTCCCTGCGGCTGCGCAGGAGGCTCGCTCAGAGGAAGGCAGTGCGGGCTGCTTCTCCAGCAAGTGAATCATGGAGTTTTTACAAACATGTCTTCTCTTCAATGACTGACAGGTAAGACAGGCCAACCCAGGTCCCTGGCATCGCTAGTTTTCTGTTCCAGCCTGTATGCCAAGGAAAAGTGCCCCTACAGAGGAAATTAGCGCGTGCCCCGGGAACAGCGGTACGTGCAGCAGCAGCGCAGGAGGCCCTTCACCGGGACAGGCCTCCACTGCCTTCGGGCCATGGCCACGACCACGCGGGAGGTCAGCAGGGGCGTGAGGACGGGCAAGGGCCGACTGCGAGTTGCGGCGGCACTGCCGTGGCATGCAGAGCTGCTGCTGCTCGTGCCACAGGACGGCCTGGGGTCGTGAACCCGATGAGAAAGGACTTCTCAAGGAGAAAGACAGTGACGTCGCCCCTACTAAAATGAAGATATCTCTTAAGTGCCCTTGAAATGGCAAATGTTAGCCAGTGCACAAATCAAATTATTGACGAAAGTACTGAAATATTATTTAACTAGTACAACGCAGCATCAGTACGTCTTATCTCCCCTGCATTTCTTTGGGCCGTCTTATGG